TAAAAATTTCTGGGATGAGGAAGCACTGGGTAAACCTTTTCCATCTCACCCGGGGAGAGTAGCAATACACCCTCACTGCCTCCTTCTCCCTTCACTGTGTCTTTTTCTTCATTAGTCCCTGACTAGGTATTTTAACTGCAAACTGATTGCCCCAACTCCCTGTTCTGTACTGGTGCAATCGCAGCTTCAGCTCCGGACTTTACAGCAGTACAAGGAGGTAAAGAGGGATTAAAATCTGGGCAAATTCCTTTCAATAAGCCAGTGAGAGATCACAGAGCCAACACCCCCCTGATGATGTCCAGTTGGGCAAGTCCTCCACAGCAGAGGAGCCCTGCTGCTGGGTCCTCTGCATGGACATTGTTATGGGAAAACTTACACAGACACACAAAATCCAACTCTGACATAAGGGGGTCTAGGACTGCTGACAGCAATCTGTCCAGACCCACTGCACATCTCTGTCGCAGAGGTGGGTGTGGGATCAACATTTTCCATGAACTTGTGAACTTCCCCACAAATCTACATAAACTTTTACATCTAAGCAGCTGGTGGCAGTGAAATGCCTTACTCTGCTCTACTGCACAAAAATCACCTCCTTGTCTTTCTTTTGACCTGATTCCTCAGCAGCTTCATTTCATGCTCCCTAGTTTTAATTCATGCTGAAGTCAACAGAGATATAGAAGAGAAGCAAGGGCTAAGCCATGGAGTTGTTACTCCACATTGATGTGAGCTCTTAAACATCAGTTACATCCCAAACCCGGAATAGCCACCCTTTAGTGGTAAGAGAAATACTCTGTGTAAGGCTATAGCTGTGAACAGATGGATAGATATAAGGTGACGTGTGGAGCTGGAACAACCAGTTAGTAAAGTTTATAAAGTACTTTGGGAGTCCATCTGGATGGATGGTACTTTATAAATGTAAGGCCATTATCAGTGCCTCCTAACAGCACCCGACCATCACTCAGCACTTTTGGAGGGACAGTTAAAGAAAACACATAAAATATATTCTTCAGCAGATATTTCACCCAGGCTCTTTTACTTGTAATAGCAGAGAGATCTGGGCTTTCATTTGTACAGACCATTCCCATTTGCAGTCACGGGGAAAAATCCACAATAGCTCAACTCATGAAGCTGTTGGATTTGTTATGTTTGAAGAATGAGGCTTCAGAGCACAACCCTGGAAATAAATGAATGGTTTGGGAATTTGCTAGTGGCAGGTCTCTTGCAGCAGTAGAGGATAGGATAACCAAAGGGATAGTAATGGGAAAGACATAGGTTTTTTGGTGGTGGGTTTTGTATTTTTTCCTCCCCTCAGGGGCACTTCACAGAATTAAATTCAAGTCAGTAACAAATGAAAAACTAGATCGCCTTTCTGGTGACAAGGAGGTGCCACATGTGAATTTTGGACATCAGCAGCAGTTGTACAAAATGTTCATTTTCCTTGAGGTCTCCCTGACTGCCCTTGGGAATATGGCTGGGGAGGAAACAGGAAGACATTGCTACTGCATATGACTTCGAGCCAAACAGAATGATCACAAGGATCTCATTGAGACTCCTCCACAAGGTCGTGACAATCTTATTCCTCACAGCACTTCTTTGGCTAAAGAAATCTGGGGGATGGGTGGGTGGCTGCATTCTGGAGAAAGCCTCTCCTCTTGGGTCTTAATCACCATTTAGTGTGAAATCAGGCTGTTTCTTCAGAGAAATTTAGTGTTTGAGCTCTTATGTTTTTTTCATGAAACAAATGTGGTGTCTATGGAGAATCTTTTTTTTTTCCTTTCAAATCCTGAACACCCCAAAGATTTCAGGCTGAAGATGCTGCCAGAGGGAGTGTGTTTTCATTTCCCTGCCATCGTTCTCTGCTGCGAGTTGGCTTCCCCAGACATACCAAGCCTCTCAGGATACTCTGTAGGCAAAAGTTCCCATGATGAACTCCTTTTTTCCACTAAGACTAGAGACTATTATATGCACCATATCCATGGAGTCTAATTTAAGATTATGGTGTATGGAAGAAGATATAAGCATCAGTTACCCAAATTGCTATTCACAGCATGGTGGCCTTTTAAAATATAAATATTTATATATGTATTCACTTACTATTTGTCCATGGAATCAAAATATTCAATGGAAAAATTTCAAGGACCTTATACAATTGTTTTTGTCAACTTTTTTTGTTTTTTTTGATGAGGAAAGGTAGCATAAATGAAATTGTTTACATTTTTACTACAGACCTAATTTCTCTCTATTTGTGTTGCTACTGACATGGTATTTAAACCCTAGTTAAGAGATAATGTTGCAGTAAGCTGTTTCTATACTTGAACTCAATTTCCTGCTGCAATATCTTGGAAGACTGGTAACAGAATTGGCCACTACTTATAAAACCATCTTTTGGGGCTTGGGGATCAGTCCACTCAATTCTTCATTTCATTGTAAAAACCTGGACACTATCATTAACTGACAAGATGATGTCAGATGAGATGAAGATAGTAACTTCTCAGGGAGGTTTGCCATGAGAGACTAGAATGAACTTGTCTTTTGACTTCTACAGACTTGTCCATCTGCCTTTCATTAGCCCTGGCTTAGTGACGTAAACTGGAAAAGCAGACTTATTCTGATAATAAGGGAACTACACAGTCCTGGTGGTCTAATCTTGACATTTTGGAAGGTTTTTGCATGTGACAACTAGGAGACTCTATTGCATTCAAGTAGATGGGTGAGCAGACAGAATTTAAGTACTATTAGTCACATGTTAATAAAGACATACATAGTCAAAGTAGTAAAGCATGAAGGAGGTAACACATGAGAGCCCAGTTCTTACAGGTGTAGAGCCATAGTAGGAAACACTGGCACACAGGCATTTACAATGGAAATAGAAGTATTTAGGTGCTGAGTAAGGTTAGTACAACATAAAGGAGCTTGCACATTGATCCCACCAGGACTGCAGGAGGAAGAGTGACAGATTATATACAAGATATATACTACATGAATGATTGCCCCCAAAGAGTACTAGGATGATGAGATGGAAGAGGATGTCAAGGTCAAATTATTATTATTTTTTTTACTACAGCAGCCAGACAGCTCTCAAATGGTTGCTTTGAACAGCTCTAATAGAACAATGTCATTAAAACCCAACAGTCGGTGCTCGGGGAACAACATTGCTGAGTTGCTACCAATGTCTTGGCAGGTGAATACGAAGGTTCACACTGTTAATGACTAGCATTTGTAACGACTGCTTTGTTTCATTTCAGCAAATGCTCCATTTCCAAAGGAACTCCAGGACAGGGATGTGGAATTGAATCAACATGCATTTTGGGCTCACACAAACCTTTAGCCTGGTCACAGGAAGATCAAACAGAGACCTCTTTCTACACTGACACCAGACAGCTCTTGACACTGCTGTTTCAAAGACTCTTACACCTGTGTCTATTAGTCTTATAAATACTCAGCATTTGCATTGGGAAGTGGATTCTGGTCCCCACTTGTAAAGGGGGAATTGTCTGTACACCATCAAGGTCACAACCTAGGTCCCACATTCAGCAGAGGGCTTCAGCATGTGCCTAATTTCAAATATGGGCATACAACCCATTCAACTCACAGGTGAGAATGCGTGTCCAACGTGCAGCATGTGGCAAGGAGGCAGTATGTGGCACAGCAGGAGCAGACACAGCATTGTTAGCTACATGTTTTTTGGGTTATTTATACCTGTAGGGATGAGTGGGGAGGAAAAGAGGGAGAAAGGAAACAAGCACAGATATGGTAGGAGAAGGAAAGGAATGAAATCAACACGTTACATACCAAGGCAGAAGGACTGAGAAAAGTTCCCTGAAGATTCCCCAGCCAGGTTTGGATATTTTTTAATTCTTTTTTTTTAATTATTATTTTATCGTATTGTCATTCAAATAACACTATAGGACGTTGAGGCTGTTTGCTAATAGGTATGCAGAAGTTTGATCACTGGAAGAAGACACCAAGAAATAGGAAGGATGGAGTGAATGTCTTATGTGCACAACAATGTTGTAGAAAGGCTAACTACAGTGTGTGGAATGAGCCCTGTTTCATAACAAGCACCTGCTAGCGACAGGTGAGATACTCAAACTAGTATGTGAATGTCTCCCAGAGAGCTGAGTGGGTCCTACTGTGCACCAAACAGGTAGTGCCACACTCACCACCATCAGTGTTACCTCATTAAAACATATTTGTCAACAAAACAGAACAGGAGCTTCAATCATCTGCTTCATGACTCCACTCTGATCGTTCCTGTGCACATCTTTCCTAGGTCTAGGAGACAAAGCCTTTCTTTCCAAGTTCTGTCTTTCCAAGGCTAAGTGCTTACTAAAAGTTATTTGAGAAAGGATGCTGACCTTTTGTTGTGTAAAGACATGGTCCCTAGTCAAGCCAGTGAAAGTTGAATGTTGTCATTGGTAGTTCACCTGGTTGCAGAATCAAAAGTCTCTTCTCACTCACCCACAGTGGAAAGCAAAGATCACTAGTGCAGGAGTTAACTGGGACAGACAGAGAAGACTTCTCTCCCAGGGTTAAGAAGGCAGTGAATATCCCACTGTGTAGTCACAGAATCATAGAATCATGGAATCATAGAATGATTTGAGTAGGAAGTGACCTTAAAGATTGCCAGTTCCAACCTCTGTGCTGTGGGCAGGGACACCGTTCACCAGACTATGCTGCTCAGAGCCCCACCCAACCTGGCCTTGAGCACTTGCAGGCATGGGGCATTTACAACTTCTCTGGGCAACCTGTGCCCAGAGAGTGCCTCACCACTCTCCAGTTCCTCTAGCTCCCGGCAGATGCTGAGCACTGTCTTATGCAGAGCTTCTTTGGTGGGGTTGACTCACGCTGGAGGTAAGAGTGAACTGGCTCTGCCTTGTGCCTGTGCACCAGAAACAAACTCCCACCAAGGTAGTACCTTCTCCCTGCCAAGGAGAAGTGTGTTAAATACAAGAGACAAATATTGATGCAAAAAATTATGTAACCTACACAGGTGATAGCTGGGAGAAGAGGGGGAACACAACAGAACCCTTCACATTCATGTCACTCATGGGGGTGAAGCAAGGACAGCAATCCACAGTTTAACACTCTCCCTGTTAGATCAGGAGAGGCCTCTTTGGGAGACCCATGCCAGGAGCTTGTTTGCAAGATACTTCACCACTGACCCCAAAATCCCTTGGGATTTTGCTGGGTACACTTCCAAGGGCCCTGCTGAGGCCTAATCTCTGCGTGAAACCGGCTCCGATGAAGAGCAACTCTGGTAGCCAAAAATGATGCAGCGATTTTCAAGCAGACTACAAGCTAATCCCCAGGATCATGATTAACATGTTTATTTTGCTCAGTTAAACAGATTCTAATGTCCAGGGCTGGGTGTAAGCACTGCTAAGAACAGTCACTAAGCTACCAGCTTTGTGTCTCCTTTGGTGATCTAGATGGCCACCCCTGACCCTCTAAAACCCCTGAGATTCCAGAGAGTGAGCAGGTGAGTTTCTTTCCTTTTAATTTATGTATTTATTTGTTTATTAATTCGATTTTCTAGAACTAAAAGATGCTCTGGCCCACCATTAAGCAGTCTTCCTAAATATAAAACCATTGTTCTTTTTAATTAGTCACCTATGGTCCCAGATTTAGGCAATGTATTTTCCCTTTCATTGCTCATCTAAACAAATTTTCACAGCTAGAAGGAAAACTTTCTTCTCAGTAAGAAGCAGAAGAAAGTGACTAGAGAAAGACGGAAAAAATAGCTGACCTCTACTTCTTCAGATGCTGCCAGGTTCTGTAGTCAGGGTTGCCCATAAGATAGGAACAAAGATGATCCTGGTCCATGGGGCATTTGTTTGCTTTTGGCTCTCAGAAGAAAAATTAAGCTACCTGACTTCACTTAACAGCCATTAATAACAGAGCACTCTTGCCACCCACACCAGAAATGTCCTGGCTGAGAGATGGGGTATTTACATGACTTACATGTCAGGTTGCATGTTTAGTGTGGGTAGGGGAGTGTCCTTTATACCCCCAGGCATGTGATGGAAGAAGAGGGAACAAAGCCTGAATCAGCTCTCAGGGAAAGCTTAAAGTAGAGTGATATCAGGACAACCAGATCTCAGCTAGAGGTCATGAAGTGCAGAACAGGAAATGTTCTCTTGTGGTTCCTGCAAAACACCATCCTGCTACTGACATACTCCAGATACCTCTGAAACTTTCCATGCTCTTTGGATACTTTCCCACTCCCAACCATTACAGTGTGCCGTACATGAGCAGCCACTAATTACATCAGAGGGAATCTGGGCTTAATTCAAATCCCACATGCAATGCCAGGACCTTGTTTCTCATCTTCAGAGATCTGGGCAAGACAATATCTCTTCCTTCCCATGGTATCCATTAGTCATTGACTTCCTCCATGGCCCCTAATGCCTCTGCATTGTCCTCTCCTGTGCTCCAGGTTCCACACCATCCATTTCCCATTCTCCTCTAGGCTTTATGTACTTATCCATTCCCATCACAACAATAGCCAACTGATTCCAGAGTTACAGGCTCAAGGGATGACACAGACAGAACTAATCCTAATTTGGAGCCTGAAGGTAGGTTAAACAACTTCATTTTATGGCTTATCCTCCCAAATAGAAATTAAGAAATACATTCAAAAAAACCAGAAAAGTCAATTGAAAATTAAGTTTTATGGGGATCTGAATAAGTTAGAAATCTGGTCAACATCCAGAATATTTTCTGGGATATAAGGGAGAAAAGAGTTTGGAAATAAAGAAAATGGATGGGATTTATCCTTTTTTCAAAATGACAGGTTTTTTTCTTTTAAACTGAAAGGAGAGGACTGGATTAACCCCTGAGCAGCATTTTCCTGAAATTCAGGAAAATCTGGCAGTACCTTTGCTTCTCTCTCAATATGTTTTCTTCTTTAAAAAAAAAAAAAAATTCTTTGTCTTTCATTTCCTCTATTTCCTCAGACCATCATCTCATTTTAGGAGATAGGATTTCTGGATTGGAGAACGCACAGCTTGTTCACAACATCCTCCGCATTTTCAAACCTAAGAGTCACTGATATATCTCTTTAGGGATAAGACCCCACAGAAATTGCACACAAAGACAGGTCCAATGAGATGCAAGATTTCAGCCGCTGCTCTACACAGATTTTGTCATGTGATTTCAGGCAGAAACTGGGCTTTAGTCTATAAGGGCACACACAGTACTGTGACTTTTCAGCACAGCCAGGAATGTCCAAGTTATCTGCCTGTTACCCTGTATGTTGGGTATGATCTAGGGCAAACTAAATGGCAGAGAAACTCCTGCATGGACCAGAAGATTGGTTCATAACAGTGGTCTATTTTCCTGAATACAACTGGCTGAAGCTTGTGCACTGGAATTTTGAGCCCAAACTCAAGTGCTTCAAGTGCAAGGGCAACAGTCCTGTGGAAGGCAACGTCACTACAGTGTTACATGCACTCAAATGGCAGCATGTTGACTCTGCAGTAATAATTCATTTAAATGAATATGTGGGTAGATATGTTTTCATTGATCACGCATACGACGTGAAGAACAAGCAGCCTTGAAAACATCTAGACAAGCCTGGGAGAGTGCAGCTGTTAGCATTGCAAACTGCATTATCACCATATATTTAGATTGTTATTAAGTGAACTTTAAGTAAGGCATCCTCCATTTGTCATTTTCCCCCCTGGTGAATTCAGCTACCAACATTGATTTACTTTTTTTTTTTTAATCTGAAAATTTGGCTATTAAGTTTTCAAAACTTATTAATCTGTTTTCACTTCATTGGTAGCAGCTTCCCCCCACCTTCTACTTAGCTTGTTAAAACTCAGAGTTGATTAAATATGACACAACAGTAAAATATTACATAAGCTCACAAGAAAATTTTTATTTCATTATCGGCACAAAGTGAGTCATCTTGAATATGACACTGGCTTTGGCTCCATTTTCTCTCACTTTTTTGCTCTGGTTTTCTATTTAATCACAGCTTTTTTCTGCCTTTCTTTGCTTGTACGATTTTGTTTTTCAGATCCACAGCAGAACGATCCAACTTTGTTCTTACACTATTAATTAACACCACGCTCTAGTTTCCAACATACTTAAATGATGAATAAGGTTAAATTCCAGACAACGTTCTGTACATTGCCATCAATTAACAATTTTCGAGGCAGCGCTTCATTAATAAACACTGATCAGCAGAGCCCTTGTGAGGAGTGCATTGGAGCTGAGAAATTGTATCAGAGCTTCTTTAATATGTGAGCTGGAGTGTGTGGTGTGTATGAGCCCGTGCACAAGTGTGTATGTGTGCGTGTGTGAAAAAAAATCAATGCAATATCCTAGGAAACTCATCAGCACATCATCTCCTTAAAGGTTAATTAAGAATTTGAGGAAGAACAGAGGGGCTGAAGCAGAGGTGATGGACATTCGTGTCTCTCCAGATCATTAAGTACTAATTAGGTTTGGAAAGTCTATTGAGCTTCCTTGGTCTCATCAAGCCATGTGATGGTCCCTGGATACCTCAGTGTGAAATGCCATCAGCACTATATCTCCCTTTATGAACAGGATGCACTTCAGTCTCAGGTGTGCCTGCTGTCTCTCACCCTGTGCATGTGTATGCCTCCTTTGGTATGTGTTTGATTAAGCTATTTTATATACTGCATAAAACTGCATGGAGAATACAGACCATTTCAGAATCATGTGTAATGCAGCATTTTTGCTGGAAGGCTAATGAGGCAAAAAAAAAAAAGGGGGGGGGGGGGAAGGCAAGAAAAGTTCCTGTTAGGTATAAACTCAGAATGAGCAGGGGAAAACCTTCCAAGTTCATATAAACCATTTTGCTGTGCTAGAAGTTCATTTAGGGAGGAATTCCAGACTGTCTTCCTTTTACTTATGTTTTCTGAGCTCAAGATGGACGTGGGGCAAGACAGGAGCTCCACAGAGTTATTAGAGCAAGACCCCACCATGCAGCTTCAAAGAGACCATAATATGTATTTTGTTAATTGCCTTTTTTAAAACTCTTAACAAGAAGTGCTGCACATCTAAATCCCAGAAGAAGCAGTGACAGGTTTTTTAAGAAATGGCTTCCGTGGAAAGTGAGATGCTGCTTTTACCTTAATTTTCTGGCTTTTCATTGTTTTGCAGCCTATAGGTCTTACAGGGACAGATTTTTCTTAGGATGTTTCCTTTAAATTGAATTGGAAATACAAATTTATATGCTCAACTGTGGACAAGGATGTAGCAAGCAAACCAACCTGTGCCTGAAAGTGACCTTTGAGGTGCCCAGAGACTGAGTCAGCTCTCAGTGCTAATGTACAAAGCAATTCAAACCAGATGCCAGTGATCAGATAGATTCTTCTGGAAATCAGCCTTGATGGTGTTATTAGAAAAAGCCACAGCTGGCTCTGTTATGAGGATTCCTTCATGGTATCTCAATAAAATTGGTTAGTCCTGATTTTTAGGCAGTCTTAACCTAGTAGCATGGCATAAAGCTGCTGAAAGGTAAAGGAAGAATAGGTCTTCAGCACTGTCTGTCCAAAGAGATCTTTATTCAGGAGTATGCAAGAGGTGTCTTTATACATAAAGAGCTAATCCATACACCTTCTCCCTTTCTTGGAATGGAGAGAAGAATAATGTGCCTCATGATATTAGCACTCATTTAATAAAATTATACCAGAAAAGGTTGTCCTCAGAGCTGGCATTTTCAAGGGACACATGCTATAAGGGAGGATGTTGACACTGGGGGTAGTTGCCGTTGCCTTTTTGAGCCCCACTGAACTTTGACTTTGATTGCACACGATGGAATGGAAGTTAATGGTTCACTGGCTCAAACTGTTGCCCTGCCGATACTGTGCTTTTAACATTTCAGTTATTAAGAGCAAGTCTAGTTGCATTAGCAACATCACAGGAGTGAAGGCAGCAGTCTGGGAACCACTGGGATGTGGGTTCTTTAGGATGCTTCTGGAATTAAAAACAAGTGCCTCCCACCGCCACCACTACTGGCACCCAGTTTTCAGCACGAGATGGCTGAATTGAAAAGCTACTGATAATGCTGCAGCCTGTACGTCTGCTCCAGAATATCAAGGACCCCTTGATAAACCCACTGCAATGCCTGGAGCACTTCATCTGCAGGCGACTTGCTCTCTTCAATATGGAGAGGATTGCCACTAATCCTGGCGCATTACTGTTCACTTGACAGAAGTCGCCTGAAACAACTTGCGTCTGTTCTTGTCCTGATTTGCTGTCGGTATTTATTAAGAGTAGTGTGTTTAAAATGGCACACATTGTAGCCTGCAGATAACATCTTAAGCTTCCTGCCTATACCAACAAAAAAACAAACACCCCCTCCCGAGAAAATCTTCTCCAAACATTGACACGCCCCTCTTTCCTCAGCCATGTTGATGCTATTGCTTCTTCCCCAAGAGATCTCTGTGAGGTCCTGGTGCAAGAAGCACCTTACCTCTGGTTTTACTGATCACCTGATTCCTGAGCTGCTGCAAAATGATTTTAAAAACTGAAGTGATAGAAAATAAAATACTAACCACTCAAATCAGTTCTATATTCATGCCTTCAGCAGAGAAACATGTTAAACTCACAGAATCTGTGGCTCTCTACTGATCAACGAGACCTTCATGTTCCTCCCCTTTCTGTTATGACTGAACATTTTTCTCCCAGGATGTGAAGATGTAACAGCTGCTCTGAACATTCAATCTTAACCACTGTGATTAGAAGTAAACAAGAATCACTGTTGAATGCTGAATATGGTGACGGTTATACGATGTGGGCATTTATTTACCAAGGATATGGTTTGACTCAACACCACTGACTTGTCAAATTGACTGGATCTACACAGTTTGACTTTTTACATGGCAAAGACTATGAAACTTCCCCCCTTTATTCCTACTCTGATTCTGATTTGTGTCTGGATGAGTTTTTAGAAGTATAGGAAGTCCTCTGAAGAAAAAAAACCAATGACTGGTAGTAAATTTTGCTTTGCAACATGCGTTTTCCAATTTATAGCAAAGGCCCTACAGTGTTTGTAGATGAGTTGTTGACTACCATTTCTCTTAGCTTTTGAGATCTCTTGGTTTCAATATCATCACAGACAGGGAAACATTATCAGTTTCAGTAGCAAAAGACAGTTCTCAAGCACACCGTCAAAGAGAATCTAGTTTTCTGTGTCTCCTACAAAAAAACTGTTGTTCTTCTGCCAATTCAACTAACATACAGAAAAATAATTTTGGGAGGAGATGAATAATCAGTTTTTCCTTAAATAAAGAAGCTAAAAACATGAATTATATCACTTTGTGCTTCCTTTACAAGCCTGTGAATCTTTTCTCTTGTTAAACTAATATTTCCTTGTTAGTGGACGAATGTTCAGATCTATCAGGTCCTTAAAGACCTATTTCTTCTTTTCTTGAGTGGATAGTATGCTCCAGAATTTAGCATCAAAAAGCTTTTTCTTGCTCCTTTTTGCTCCCAGCACTATGGTCTCTTGAAAAGTTTCATCACTTATGTGTGTGAAGGATGTGTGTGCATGTGTGAGGGTATGCATATGCATCAGTCTAGCATATTTTAAATAATTTCATATACATATGTGTATATATATACACATATTTGTGGAGAGGACGTGTATATATGAAGAGGGAATACAGTCATACTTGGTCTAGTGTTTTTGTACTTTAGGCAGTGTGCAGATAGAAAGAGGTGTGAGTTAAATAAGAAGGAGTTAGTGTGACTCTTCTGATCTCAGTAATGTACCAGAAGACAAAGCAGTGAAATACCTTTCCTCCTGTCTTTAAAATAAAGGATAGGTTTGCAAAGCAAGGCCCTGTACATCAACTTAGTTCATGCAGAATCTTAACATTTGTCTGGGACAAGCAACATTAGGTATGGCAGACAGTAATGGTGCTTTCAAATGAGGGACAGATGGCTGTCCAACACTGACACTGCAGGTGTCCAAGACTTTTAATTCGGTTTCATTCAGTGGACCTTTTGCTCTCCAGTCCCTTGCTACTGCTGTCAAACTTTTCCAGAAGCAAGAAAGACTGTGGGGACAATGTGATAGAATTACAGAAGGTGGTAGAGTCATTTGTTAATCCATGGGGGAAATTAGGCCATCAGACAACAACCTGCTTCACAAAGAGATCTCTAGCAAACAGGTGTGTGTGTTCTGTGTGTGGATGTATGGGGTAGTTGTGGAAAGCTGTGGATGTAGGGGAAAGGACAAGAAAGAGGACTAGTTAGTGAGCTTTGGGTTGGGAGGTGACAATAATGACAGCCAGATCCTGATGGTATGTAACAGAGTATCCAAAAGAGTAAAACACAACCTCTGCTATAAACCAGCCTTCTCTTGGTTTCATTTGAAAAACTGAGCTCAGAGAGGTACAGAAATTCTCTGGCATCACAGAGCCTCATCTATCAATGTCCTTGTAGATACCAGTGGGATTCGATGAAGAATAGAGTAAAGGCTCCCTTGTCCTTTTGTTTCTTTATCCGTTCCTGCAAAAAGAACAGTGCTAGGAAGCTCTAAACATTTAAAATCACAGGTGTGATGCCAAGACAAAGTCCTTGATAGCCCTAGTTCTGGCCTTGGGAGTGGAAGGTGCACTGTATTACTATGGTACAGTGATGGTCTTTTCATTGTGATGGTCCTCCTGGAAATGCAAACCTGTCTGCAGCTGAGTGTTTTGGGAGCCATCTGTGCCAGCAGGTCCCCCTGAGCCTGCCTGATGAAAGTTCAGGTATGGAGTCACTCTAAGCAATGTTTCTTCTCAGCTGGTTCTAGGTATCTTCAGTGTTGGTGGGCACTGTGTAACTCTTGTGGAGTTGCTTAGGCCTGGAAAGGTACAGGGAGACTGCCTTTTCCGGCCACAGCATTTACAGAAAAAACTCCCTGTGAGCTCTCAAGACAACAAAGCCTGTCTTTGTAATGGTTTGTACCATGAGTCCTGACCCTGTTTGGATTGTCTGGTGTCTAGTGAGGGGTGTGCTCCAGCACGTCCCCTCTTTCTGTGTGTGTGTGGTGCTCAGAACTCCATATTACAATGTATTCCACTGTGTCAGCCCTCCACAACATTTTCCTTGGGAATCAGGGCAGTTGGGCTGAGAGGAAGGATCTGGCATTATGTATCTGCAGAGTTCTTGAGGGACATTGGCGCTGTGAGATGTGATTCTCCAGACCAGCACCAGGGTCAAAATATGTTGTGTTACAAGTTGATAATCTGCACAGGCTATAGATCTAAATCACTGTATGCGTCTACTGTGCCTGAGGAGAGGGAAAAGAAGAGGGAGGAATCACAAATTCACAAATTGATATCTGGAAATTCTGGTTATTTTTAAGGTGAAATCCTGAAAAAAAAATTTTTCCCACTTTTAAACACACAGTTTTCTCCAGATAT